TGAAGAGGTGCTGGGGTTCAGGTGCACTTACTCATCGGGCCGTGCTCTCTGGAAGCCAAGGTTTTCTTTGGAACTGAGCTCGGCTCCAGGATGTTTCCAGGCCAGAACTTATTCCTGACTCACAGGGCAGAAGAGTGTAGAACTGCTTGGCTCACTCAGTGAGGTCACAAGCAAACCTCTGGCACATCTGGCACACGTGTGGGGGGTAGAGAGGCTTCACATCACACGGGCGCAAGCCCTGAGCAGGCTCGAACCCTGGAACCTCTCACTTGGGGCATTACACACCAGATGAAGCATTTTTACTCCCTAATGCAGTGATGGCAAACCTTTTAGAGACCGAGTGCCCAAACCGCGACCCAGAACCCACTTATTTATCGCAAAGTGCCAACACGGCAATTTAACCTGACTATTGAGGTTTTACTTTAGAAAAAACAGCTCATACGTTAACTTAAGATGATCCAAACAAAGTAAGGAAAGCAATCCCAAATGCTTTCATTTACTTAATATTATTTGGCAGAGAATTCGACACTTTAATGATGGTCTGGGCCTGGCTGGGGCGATGGCACACGTGCCCACAGAGAGGGCTCTGAGTGCCACCTCTGGCACCCGTGCCATAGGTTCGCCACCACTGCCCTAATGCATGGGGCATAGGGAACAGGCTCTTGTTACTCAGGGCAGTTGGTGGTGTGCTAAAGGGTGGGGCAGCGCATAACCTGAGCATGAAAACCTGCTGTTCTCCGACTGAGTCAGGAACCAAAAGTGGATGGGGATTCTCATGGGTGGGCTTCATGGCCACAAAGGAGGGGAGGGGGGGCCAGATGGCACATGTGGGTGTGCCTCTATGCAGGGCATGAAACGGCCAAGAAATCCAGTCTGTTACTCAGCAATGCTGGATATTCATAAATGCCAAACCAGAAAAATAAATTACACACCTGTTTGGCATTAACTGATGAGAGACGCCTGTGTGATTTTGTCTGGGAGGACGAAGGTGGCACGGAATTTCTCTGCAACTGGGTCCCATGAAGCGCCATAAGTTTAGAAGGGGGTCCCACTTAGGGTTACCAACTCTGGGTTGAGAAATTCCGGGAGATTTGACGGTGGGGTTTGGAGAGGGGGAGGGCCCCCAGTGGGGTAGAATGCCGCAGGGTCCGCCCTCCAAAGGAGCCGTTTTATGCAAGAGAACTGATCCCTGTGGCCTGGAGGTTGGTTGTAATTCCAGGAGACCTCCAGGCCCCACCTGGAGGCTGGCAACCTTAGTACCACTGCCCGAAGGAGTCTCAGAGCGGCTTACAATCTCCTTTCCCTTCCCCTCCCCACATCAGACACCCTGTGAGGTAGGCGGGGCTGAGAGAGCTCTTTCGAGAACTGCTCTTTCCAGAACAGCTCTGAAAGAACTTATGACTGACCCGCGGTCACACCAGCAGCTGCATGTGGAGGAGTGGGGAATCAAACCCGGTTCTCCCAGATCAGAGCCTGCGCTCCTAACCCCTTCGTCAAACTGGCTCTCAAAGGAGGCCCAGTTTCCAGAAGGCTTCAGTCTCTAGACAAGACTTCCCTACTGTTCCTTCCCTTCCGGATCTTCAACAGCTCTCATCAGGTACTTATTTTACCTTTCCTTCATTTACGTCTCACCTCTCTCCCCAAGGGGGGCCCCCCAAGCAGTGTCCAACATTCTCCTCTCCTCTCCTCCATGTTATCCTCACAACAACCCTGTGGGGCAGGCTAAGGCGAGTGCGGGAGACACTCACATCCCCCCCCCACCAGGACGCTTCCATGGC